ATTTTATCATTGTTTGTTTGAAAATTGTATATGGCTAAAGAGTTGTATAGTGTCAAATTGACAAAGGGTAGTCTGTGGTAGTTATATAATCGTTTGTCAATTTGAGGATTAAGACTGAAGGGGCAGAGTCCGGTCTGTCAATTGTACCGTAGTCAATGAGGCCTCTGTGTGGGCACGGCCTTCTCTAACAGAATGAGGAAGACCCACAACCTGATAAATGGACAAAAGGGCTGCAACAACAAGGTGAAACATTATAATGAGTAGAAGATGGCATATGACTAGGCAGTGTTCAGTTCTGTTGCGTATGGGGGTGCTATGACTCAGAGTTGACTTGGCAACTAACAACATTGTTCATAGGTATTAGATTCTTCAGTGTTAGATACATAACACTTCACTATTAGAATATGACTGTTCTAATGTTTCTTGTTCCTTTCTCTACTACTACATCTACCTTCTCAGTCCTACTTCCAAACTCCCTCAAAAAGAGGAGATAATTTGCATGGAAACCAGCACTACAAAATATATTAGAAAACTTAAGTCTCACTCTATAAATGCTATCTTACACAATGACCTAGAGTGAGAATCAATATCACAAATGATTTTTTGCCCAAATGCCATGACAAATTAATAAAATAATGGCACTAATTTAAGCACAAAATAAACTTTTATAATATATTAAATATCAACATATTCTAAAGATAAAAGGAAGTAATATATCAAAAACTAGCATGGACTAAAGCACTATATGAGTATATATGTATAAGTAGAAATAGGGGAAAGGGATTATAATGAAGAAAAATATATATGAAGAACAATAATAATTGTAGAAAAATTTTAAATTATTCCTTCACAATAAAATGAAAGTCATGACTCATTTTCCTCTAAGGGGAAAATATGAAATTCAAACTGTGTTTTTATAAATAAGCTAAAGTGAAATCAGGTAAATCCCTATTATTAAGTACATTGTAGAATCATGAAATTATGCTTTTGGATTTTTATGTTAAAACTCTTCATTGAAGTGCTAAAAGATGATCGAATTGTCATTGGTTCTGCTTTTCCACTGAAGCGTTCTTCCACCCTCCCGGTATCGCCACTCTCACCACTGGTCCTGAAGGGATCATCTGTCCTGGATTCCCTGTGTTTCCAATTCCTAGCTGTACCAATGTATATCCTCTGGTCTAGCCAGAATTGTAAGGTAGAATTGGGATAATGATAGTGTGTGTGGAGGGGTGGAGGGAAAGTATTTAGGAACTAGAGGAAAATGGTATGTTTCATCATTGCTACACTTCACCCTGACTAGCTTGTCTCCTCCCCACAACCCTTCTGTAAGGGGATGTCCAGTTGCCTACAGATGGATTTTGGGTCCCGAATCTACACGTCCCCTCATTCACAATGATTTGATTTTTTTTTTTTTTTTTGATGCCTGATATCTGATCCCTTTGACACCTCATGATCACACAAGCTGGTGTGCTTCTCCCATGTGGGCATTGTTGCTTCTGAGCTAGATGGCCGCTTTTTTACCTTCAAACAAACCTTTAAGACCCCAGACACTATATCTTTTGATAGCTGGGCACCATCAGCTTTCTTCGCCACATTTGCTTATACACCCATTTGTCTTCAGTGATCGTACTGGGAAGGTGAGTATACAATGATAAGATTTTTGGTTCTTTGATGCCCAATAACTGATCCCTTTGACACCTCGTGATCACACAAGCTGGTATGATTCTTCCAAGTGGGCTTTGTTGCTTCTGAGCTAGATGACCACTTGTTTACCTTCAAGCCTTTCGAAGACCTAGACACTATATCTTTTGTTAGCCAGGCACCATCAGGTTTCTTCAGCACATTTGCTTATGCACCCGCTTTGTCTTCAGCGATTGTGTCAGGAAGGTGAGCATCATGGAATGCCAGTTTAATTGAACAAACTATTCTTGAATTGAGGGAGTACTTGAGTGGAGGCCCAATGTCCATCTGCTACCTTAACAGTAAACCTATAAATATATGCACATTCCCCCTTACTCATATATAAATATATTTACATATGTACATGCCTTTATTTAGACCTCAACCTCCTCCCTGGGGGATGGACAACAGAAAATTGGGTGGAGGGAGATGTCGGACAGTGTAAGATATGACAAAATAATAATAACTTATAAATTATCAAAGGTTCATGAGGGAGGGGGGAACGGGAAGGAAGAGGGAAATTGAGGAGCTGTTATCAAGGGCTCAAGTACAAAGAAAATGTTTTGAGAGTGATGATGGCAACAAATGTACAAATGTGCTTGACACAATGTATGTATGTATGGATTGTGATAAAGAGTTGTACAAGCCTCCAATAAAATGATTTAAAAAAAAGAAATTGTAAACGCCTGGAGTTGAAATAATAGAGTTCTGTAAGGAAAAAAAAAGATGATAGAATTACTTAAGGAATAGATCATCTGTTCATGAAAATATGTGTCATCAGTTTTGTTTTAATCATTTGTAGCTTCATTTGAATACCAAATCCTCTCAATTCTCCCCTTCTACTCTATTATGACAAGAATCCTAAGTACACTAATCATTTCTAAGTTATCTATCTTATACATCTACTGTTAGTGTTGTATTCTTTCATATATCTACTCAAGGAATTTTACCTCTTCAAAAATTTTAAGTTGTTTACAAAATACAATGCAAATTTTTTAGCACAGCATTCTCAGATTTCACAAAATGGCACTAAAATATAATCCATAAAATAAGTATTAATTAATTGCCTTGTATGTCCAAGACTCCAAATTTGGTTGTGGGTTGGTAGCAATGATAAAATGAACAGTACAAAAACTTTATTCTCAAAGAATTCAATCTGTTGAGAAATGCAGTAACGTGAGCTAGTTTTTAATGTAGTGTCAAGAACTTCCTCTGTGGGTTTCTGAGACTGTAACTCTTTACAGGAGTAAAAAGCCTCATCTTTCTCCTGCAGAAAGGATGGAGGTTGTGTTTAGCAGCCCAACATGTAACTACTATAGCACCAGGTAACTAATGACAGTGTGCTAACAGAATTAAGATGCATGACCTGTATTTACAAAAGAAAAAGTAAAATATGGTTGGTTGTCCACTTATAAAGAAAAAGTAAAATATGATTGGTTGTCCACTTACAAAAACAAAAAGTAAAATATGTTTGGTTGTCCACTTACAAAAACGAGCAACATAAAGAAGATTTATCCTCCTGCTTTCAACATTAAAAAAACTAGACATTTACATTTGCATATAATGACTTGCTGATATAGTCCTGATAGCAATCTCTGACAAAGGGGAGCAAGGGGAGTCTTATTGCTGCTGTTCCTTACTGCATGGAGAGTGACCAGACCACAACTCATGGTGAAGAAACTCAAAGCCTGCTTTCCCAAAGCACACCATCAGTGAAGAGTGGAGCTGAGCCACAGATTTGGATTCTACTGATGGTAAATTTACCAGGTTTAATGTTTACTTCTATGCCACCTTTAGGTCTTTTAAGACTATTCCTTGCAGACAAGAATTCATGCTTCAACATCAAATTTAAATATTGTTTCATCCAATAAAGGTGGCCTCCTGGGGCAATGGTTTAAGTGCTCGGCTGCTAACAGAAAGGTAGGAGGTTCAAACCCATTAGCCACTGCAAGGGAGAAAGATGTGGTAATCTGCATCTGTAAAAGATTTACAGCCATGAACACTCAAAGGGGCAATTAATTCTATTCTGTCCTAAAATTAAACTAAACCACTTCCCTGGAGTTGATTCACCCTAAATAGAATTTCCCATGCTGCAAGTAATTACAGGAACAGAGGGCTTTACTTATTTTCTGAAAAGTGGCTGGTGGCTTAGAACCACTAACCTTGAAGTTAACAGTCCAACACTTACCTGGCAGCAACACCAGCCTGTCAAAAAGCTTGAAAAACCCTCTCACATAGTTTAAAAAACCTCAATGCTGTCTCTCGCATCCTTCCTTCCGAGATGACATCGAAAAGATGTAACAACTGCCCACAGACAAGGTCATTAAAAGTTGGTAATAAGAAACATAGTGGAGGCCGCAGCCAGCAGAGACATTTCCGAAGCCGGCGTCTTCAAAGCATACATGCTTCCCAAGCTGCACAGGAAGCTGCGTTATTGTGTGAGTTGTGCCATTCACAGCAAGGTGGTCAAGAACTGGTCACGTGAAGCCCAAAAGGCGTCAACCCTCCTCCCCCGCTACACACACCCCTCAATTTAGACCTGCCCCAGGACTTCCTCCAAAGCCTATATAAAGATTAAACGCTGAAGAAAAACCTGAGAGGAAATAAAATGGAAGTTGTTCTTTAAAAAAAAAAACCCGCAATCTTCATAGTAACCCCATTGGGCAGGTTATATAATTGCCACTGTGACTTTTCATGGTTGTAACTATTAAAAACACTTCTTTATCCCTTGGAGCAACAGGTTGGTTCAAACTGCCGACCTTGTAATTAGCAGCACAGCACTATGCTACTAGGGTTTCTACTCTGTCATATAGGATCACTAAATGTTGTGGTCAACTCGATGGCACTGGATTTGGGCTGTGTGAGTAATCCAGTAAAGCTCCCCTGATCTTTTTGCTCATCAGCCCTAGTAAAACTTATTATTACAGTATTCCATTAATATATTATTTTGGTTTAATTTATATTATGGCATCAATTTCATTCCACTTTAATAATAATACAAATGCTAGTCATGATTTAACAAGATTTTATCATGTTGTTGTTCTAAATGTTGTATAAATACCAAAATCATTTACCGGGAATCCTCAGGGGAATTCTATAAAACAGGTACTATTTTTCATTTTGTAGATAAAGCAACAGAGACACACGCAAAACCAAAAACTTGTCTATAGCCACACAACCAATACATCTGTCAAAGGAAGGATTCAAACTAGATCATCTGGCTCCAAAATCCATGCATTTTTTTTTTTAACTCTTCTCTAGATTTCTTAAGATTCTCTGAATACTGTTCTAGATTTCTTGAATACAGACACTATACCTACCTGGTCTTGCTATTTGTGGGTCATACACTACCCAGTGTGACAGTTATATGTCAACTTGAGGAAGCGGTGGAATCTGGTCTGTCAATCACAGCTTGATGACCTAATTTGGAGGCAAAACAGAGATAAACAGCTCACTGGCGGAGGGACATATTCACTTGCTGCGAGACACACCTATTGACAAGACACATGGAGCTATGCTAGCGCCCTGGAGCTGGAGGAGCCACATGAAGAACCTTGCCAGCGCCGAGATGCCTCCACTGCCACTGGATCCACAAGACTCTCCAACCACTGGCCTGTGATCTTCCTGCATTCAGCATCATTGCATGTGTTCATGAGTCTGACGTGGAATTTGTAGATTGGTATCGGACATATGGGCTAATATCGGACTTATGGACTTGACCCGGACTAACACAACCAGAATAATATGCTATGCCTGGTAGACACTCTATGCTTTTTTCTGTGAATGAATGGCAAAGGAACACTATGAGGAATAATTACCCTGATTACTAAGGCAGAACTGTGGTAAACCCTAAACTAGAGACAAAAATTTACCTCCAGTTTTTAAGCAAACATTTTCTTCATCCTCCAAGCACTTCAGCTATTTCATCCATAAACCATTAAAGTTTTCACATGCTCCACTGATACAGTCTTGCTTTTTCTCAAGTATTGGCAATTTATAGCTCTATAACCTATATCTATTTTTCATCATTATGAAACATTTCATACATGTTATAGGTATATAAAACAATATTAGCAAGACTGTGTATATGTGGAAAAAATATGTGCATGGGTAGGAGTAAAGAATTAGCGTAGGTCCTTTAAAATATATATCTTTATATAGAGAAGCCCTGGTGCCTACTGGGCTGTTAACCTCATGTTCAGCATTTCAAAACCACCAGCTACTACTCCATGGGAGAAAGACTAGGATTTCTACTCCCATACAAGAGTTACAAACTCAGAAACTCACAGGGGCACTTTATAAGTTAGACACAATGTTAGTTGTTTAAACCCAGTTATTTCATTCTAGCTGCAAAACAAACAGAAGGTAGAAATAAGATGAACCCTGGAATACTTACATTTTCATCTTTTAACAATAGATTGTGTCAAATGAATTAAAAGAATCTATTGGCAAAGGTAATAATCATTTGCTGAAATTAGAATAAAAGCTTAAAAGTCACAAAATTACTTCATTTAATTATTATCTTTCTATCAACTTTATCAAAAGTATTATGTAACAAGCTGCAAGTGGTATCCTTTTTACATCAATACCATGATAATTTGATATGTGTTTAATATTTGCTCCATGAGAACTCATTCACTGTTAGTGTGTTGTTTACTGGAAAATCATAGTGAAGTGCCAGATTCTTCAGAGAGAATACACCAGTTCATACCTTTCAGTTCAATGTTGATATGCCACTTATATAATCAACAAGTTCTAGAATCAATACACTTTATGAATTGTTCTGAATAATTACTCTAGGTGATCAAAAAGTTCCCTTCATAGACTCTAGAACTTAAGAGTACTGCATGCAATCTTCATAATTAAAACAGAAGCAATGGAAATAAATGTGCACAGAGCTACAAAATAATCTTGGAATTAATCTTCAATCCCCTGTGACATAAATCATAGAGGTTTATCGGGTAGTTGTAAAACATATAAATATCAATTAAATTCTTGTATGGAAACATTATAAATAGAATAGAACAGAAGTCCTTGCCTAAGGTATTAAAGGCCCCCAACCAAAGCAAACTGTCTTGGAGTCAGTGCTGACTCATCACCACCCCTTATGGGTTTCAGATACTCTAACTGTTTTAGGGAGTAGAAATCCCAGTCTTTTTACCGAGGAGCTGCTGGTGGTTACGTACTAATGACCATGAAGATTGCAGCCCAATGCATAGGATAGTAAGTATCTTAGTAATAAGGATATATTACTTATCTAAGAAAGTAAGCAAGTAGTAAATAAATAAATAGAATATTAAATAGTCAACTTAATTTTAAAAAGTGCTTAAAACCTATACAATGAAGCTATAAAATTCTTCTGAAAGACATACAATTTATTAAGCAATCAGAAAATAAAAAGTGTTATTGGATAAGAAGATTCAACCTCATAGATATAAATTGTAAGACTCAGCCTCATAAAGATAATTGTTCCTAGATTAATTCATATTAGAGTCCTGGTGACATAGTATGTAAAATTACATGTTAGGCTACTAACCACAAGGTCAGTAGTTTGAAACTATCAGCTGTTCTGGGGGAGAAAGATGAGGCTTTCTAATCCCATAAAGATTCACAGACTCTGGAAGCCACAGGGGTAGTTCTACTCAGTTCTATAGGGTTGCTATGAGTCACATTCAACCAGATGACAGTGAGTTTGATTTTTTTTTAACTTGAGAGGTTAATTCATGAATTTATTACAATGCCAATAAAATATAATTTTTTCTTAAAGTATGCTGGTGGACTATTAATTCATATGTAATTAGCATAGGGTTAAAAGGATGAAGAATGCAGTGATGAGGACAAAGGAGAATAATATTGCAGACCTTAAAACATATTATGAAGTTGCTATAAAATAATATTGCAGACCTTAAAACATATTATGAAGATGCTATAATTAAAATAGGGGCAGGGCTGATTCACGAGTAGAATTTCACCCCAGCCAAGGAACCCAAGCACAGTCACTGTTTGCCTGTCAGTAGAGGCTTTGTGATGCTCAACAGATTTCAGTAGAGCTTACAGATTAAGATACACTAAGAAGAAAGGCCTGGCCATCCATTAAGACCATATGGATCATAATGGTCAGATCCCATTGTGCATATAGTTGCCACAAATTGGGACCAAATGGGAAGCAACTAATAATAACGACATAATTAAAACACTCTTTAACTGGCATCAGGACACTATTTTATTTGCATTAAAACAGTAATAATGGCATATAAACAGAACAACAGCACAAATGAAAAGGGGAAGAGATGAGAGCATACCCAATTGCGTTACGGAAATTTACTGTAGAAAACGGTGCAAGTGCTCAAAGAAAACATATGAGTACCTTTAAAACCTGAGGATGGGAACATTTTTCCTAATTATGTCTCAGTGCATCCAGAACCAACACAAGCAAATAAACAGTATTAAAGGCCTCTTTTGGTTAGGTAATTATGTTTATGGAATCAATGAAAAGCAAAATTCAACATACAACTGGGAATCACAAAAATCACAATATCATCCAATAGAAAAATTATAATACTTTCCCTTTCTTTATCATCATGTTTAAACATAGATGAAAGAGCATAGTAATATATCCAGACCCTAAGAGAATATAAACCACATGTCTGTAGAATTTAATTGGAAATAAACTACACTATCCAATATCTCAACCCATGTCCAAGACTCTTGCATTTCAGCACTATACTTACTTATCAAAAGGGATTACAAATCCTGAATCTAACATTTATGTTTAGAAATAACTAATTGATTTCTATGTGATCTAGGGCAAAGAGCCTTAGTAGTTATTTATATTCATCCTATACGGAAAAAATAAAAATAATACAACTAATGTATGCAAAAGTTCTACAAACAGCATTAAATATATATATATCTGCTATAGAGAAGGAGGGACCCCTGATGTCTGGTCGATTGAAGCCAGACAATCGTGAGTCCTGACTGCATAAGATGTGAGTCCATGAAACTGCATCTCTGCTTACCTTAAAATATTGTGTTTCATCATCAAAGATGCCACGCCTCTGAAATCTGTAAAGATTGTATCTAGGAAGAAGTCTCTTGGTTATTTTACATCTTCTAAATGAAAAATTAAAGAGACATATACAGATTCTTTGGCCACAAAATACCACTGCTGGCTAGCAGGCATGTATCTCAAACACAATAGTTACAGTGTCTGATTGGTGTCGTGGGAACATAAAGGTAACATCTACATTTATTAAAAATAAGTTCTTTCTCCACAAGTAGCTTCTGAAAAAAAAAAAGCTTTTTTAAAAAACAACATAAAAATGGTGCATTGGCAGAAGACACAATCCCAGCCTTGCTGTACACTGACATTGCCTTGCAAATGAAAGCCTGCACCATTCCTTATGATCAGGGCTTCACCCATTTATTTGGTTAATCATTCAAATGGCTAAACAGACCTCTAATTTGAAAATAAAAACCAATTGATGCAATCACAAACAAGTTCTAAAATTGCGGTTTATAAAAATTGAAATCTTGTTCTAAGCCAAAACACACACACAGTTACCTTTTCCTAATCAGAGCATTCATTTCTCCTCATTATGATCTCACAAGCACATTAAAATCTTATTAACATTAATTACTTCTGAGCGCCTATGCATGAGCAGTGACAGTCGTGAGCGTGCGCGTGTCTGGATCATATCTACATTTATATACCTTGCTGCACTTTGCTTATAAAACATGTGAAAATATTTCTGCTAACACCAATTAGCTAATTTCACACACACGGAGATAGTAAACTGCTGTCTCACTGCACAGCCTATCAGAGACCAACAGACAGATGGACAAATGGACGGTAAAGATAGCTGAACACCTCTTAAATGTAAGAATGAAAATGCCTTATCCTTGAGCCTTGATTCTTGAGGTGAAATTAAGTTGAGAAAACAAAATAACAAAAATAATACAAAATGAGAAAGCAAAGCTTGCTATTTTCTACACAGATGGGTTCAATGAATAAAATGATAGACAAAGAAAAGCTGGCAAGTGAAAAGTAGCAGACACATGAGAGACAGAGACAAATAAGCAAAGAGACAGAGATGAAAGTGTCTTTATATGTATGCACATACACACATGCACATCTGTTCCATATATATACTCATAATTTGAACTAAAATAACATAAACTTGCCTCTGACCATAGGTATGAATAATAACATACTGCACCTCAAAATCAAACAGGTCTATCTTCACAAGCAAATAAAACTCTTGCTCAACCCAAATGATTTATGGATTCTATTTATACCTAGAACATCATATACAGGCGCCATTCATCCCTACAACAGAAACTCAGTGTCAAATAGAAAACTAGACAGTTCTAGCCACCAAACAACATATAATCCTTTTCTTCACACATTTCTTTCGGCA